ATCAGCTCCTTCTAACGAACCGTAAATAGAGTACAACGAATCCTAATATGAGCTTTAAGTTTTAAGAGATGCAACGCGGAAGTCACATAACGAAAGACACTCCTAAGGACACTTGAACCTGGAGTGCTCTGATACCAACTGTGATACCCCCAGATTTCCGAATACGGGTTGGCCAAGCCCACGCCCGAACACCCGAGGATATCAAAAACGAATCGGCAATAAACGAACACAGAATACAAGAGGACAAATAAAAATAAATAAAAATGTTGAAAAGAAACTAAAAGGATAATCCAAACTTCTCATAATAAATTCTTATTAAAAATAAAAACATTCTGATACAATTAATCCTCCATTAATACAACTCGGGAATCCATACTGTGTAGACCCCTAAAAAAACCCAACTAAACAAATGACAGTAATAACTGTCCACATCAGGAAACTGAAACATAAAGGAACTCCTATGTAGATAAACTGGAGGAGTGAAGTAGACTGATCCCTGCTCAGTACAAACAACCTCTACTCCTGACGAACACCTAAAAAATAATGGTGGGTCAGGCCCACAAACAAGTTCTACTCTACTACAGTCCAAGTAAAGATTCGATACACGTATACATCTTAGTCAATCCAACAATAACTAGTAGTTCGTATATATATAAATATACACTAAAGGAACCTCATTAGACTATAGGGTTGCTTCAACCTGAATAGTAGGCATCACGCAAAACGCACATATAGTGGGCATGAGTACCTATACCTACTAGGGCACATAACTACATTATATCTAGTTACACATCCCTGGCGATATACGCGCCCTAACCATTGATCCTAAAACTCAAGCTCATATCATGGCGTATAATTATATATATAAAATCCGTCTAATCCAGCCATCAAAATAAATTATCCAAATATTATTTTAATAATATATCATCCAACTATTCCGTTGACCTGATACAAATAAGTAGGACTTAACACTATGGTTAATCAGTTCCCTTATTAAAAATAGATAGGACTTAACTCTTAAGTTAATCCGTCCTTAATATGCCCCCATCCCATAATAGTACATTAATCCATATCATAATCAAATAAAAGTTTCCAATCCAATGATAGTGTAAATAATATTTACATCTAATAATCCAAATAAATATGACATAAATCATATACACATTATTTACATTTACTTGAGCAAAAATATCAATTCTAAATAGTATATATTTAATTTACATCACAAGAAATTAACATACATCTAAACTAAATTGTACATCTCCATGTTCTGATTAAATTAATTTAAATTTACACAATTGATTAAAATAATTTAATCCCAAAATATTTAATTAATTTATCTTTTTAAAATTAATTAAATTCCGCACTTAGTATGTAAATTTAAATCATACATTCCAATTTCTAATGAATCTATTTAAATTAAATAAATATTTACTACCAATTCATCAATAAAAATATACATACATATATATATAAACACAAATATTAATTTAATTTAATTTAATCATCATTATAACAATCATTATCACAATTATTATTTAGTTTATATTAATCATGCATCAATCATTATTCCAATCATTGCTTAACTTTAAAAAAAAAAAACATCAATCATTATGCTAATCATTGCGTACTTTCTTTTTTAAGAAGAAAAAAAAAAAAAAAAACAAAACCAGAAGTTGAATTCACAATACACACCAAGCTTTATCTCGCCTCATTCAACGTGCCTAGACACATACTTACACAATTTTGATTTCTCACAATAAGCTGATTCTTATTTATAATAATACCTGTACGACGTGCATTGAAGAAATCACTCACAAATTTCGTAAATGTACATAAATAGGTTCATGCTAGTTCATGGTAATTTTTAAAAAATCATTCCTCTTTCCGCGCGCAAGAAGAAAATAGAAATTTAATTCCATCTGATATATAAAACTGTCTCATGCTAAAAAAAAACCCCATAATATATTACAACTCAGGACTAAAATACATGAACTAAAATTTCCAAATAAATTCATATAATTAGATTCAATTAATTTATTTAAAGAACCTAAAATTAATCTAGCATGTATAGGGTATGAATCAAAGAAGAAGAGAAGAATTAAAACTTCCATAATTATTAAATTTTATATGATTAAAAATCTTGGAATCTGCTAAGCATGTATAAAAATACAAATCTAAGGGAGAGAGATAGAAGAAGAACTTGCCTTAAACTTTCGGATCGAAAGTTAAACTTCTTCTTCCTTGATCTTCTCTCTACAGGGTTTTCTCCTCCTTCCTTCCTTTTCCTCTTTCTCTCTCTAAAATATATTACGTGAATATTTCTAACCCCTTTTTACAACTAGTTATATATTTATAGGCAAATAAAATAACCCTAATCCTTTTTCCCAATCTAAGTCAACTTAATAAAGAAAATAAATATTAAAATATTAAAAAGGTAACGTAAAATATGTTATGTATATAATTTATGTACATCCTTATCAAAAAAATAAATTATATACATCCCATTATTTATTAATAAATTATCTAAAAAGAACTTAAGTTACCATAATATTAAAAGGTAACATAAAATATGATACGTATAAAATCTATGTATCCTTATTATATAAATATATAAAATATATGCATCAGATAAAATATTAATACCCAAGTTACCATAAAAGTAATTAATAAATTAATTTCCCTTTTATATATGTATATATATATATATATATACGCACACACACACACACACATAAACAACTATACATGGGTAAGTATCTATACCCATTAAACTTCCTATCCAAGCAATCCATGGGATCCAACTGGTTGGCCCATTACTACTAACCATATCTATCCTTTTTAAACAATAAAAATAAAATATAAACAATAAATTCATTTAATCTACCAAATAAAATTATAACCAAATACAAATCATTACATACAAATTAATCTACACAAACAATCTACCAAATAAAAATATAACCAAATACAAATTATCACATACAAATTAATCTACACAAATAATTCAAATAACACATAAACAAATAATGCAACTAACACACAAATAAATAACCAAATAATCAATTAAACAATTAAAAATTCAATTAAAATAAATAAATAAATACCGAGACTATCCTTTTAAAATTAGGGGTATTACATATGTATACAAATGAGTTTCACCGGAGATGATGGGTAAGCTTCTAGGTCGCGGAAATTGTTCATGCTTGGGGTCTGTCGGTCTGAATTGGGCTTCACTAGATTTGGGGCTCGTTGGATAGAATTGGGTCTTGTAGTTTGAAGCTTCGTTGGACTGATGGCTCCAATTTTGAGCGCCGTTAGATCAAGACTGGTCTCCAACGCGTGACTTGTTTACTTCGTAGTTGGGTAAGCTCACCGAACTGGATCTCTTTTTGCCAGTCCATTTTTGGCAGTTCGTCGTCGGAATCACCATAATTAGGACACCGATTATGCAAGAATAAAGGACCTTTTTCGCCCAATCGGGGTTGCCGAAATTTTTTTTCTGAAATCTCACCTGTTTCTTTGGTGGTAAAAGATTGAATTCATGTTCCTGAGGTTGTTGTTATCTCATTTTCTTTATTCTAAGCTTCAATCTCTCAAATCGGCGTACGCTTTGTAGCTGGAGCCTCTCTCTATGATGAAGCTCTTTGTTGTGAGTCGTAGAAAATTGGGTTTTTCATAATCGAAAAATTGTGTGAGGATCAAAGACTTGGGGTCAAGAGCGGTGATGAAACAATCTAGGGCTTGTTTTGTTGGTAGTTTGGTAACAGAGTACCGATTATTGCTGCCATTATTGTTGAATCCCAATGCTTACTCTGCATTGGGTCTCTTTTCGTCGGTCCATTTTTTGTTGACGGTAATTTGGTCACTAATTATTTTAATATTTTATAATTAAAATTAATAAAATAGTAAAGGGTAATGTTAACTGTTCACATGTTTTAAGACTCTGTTTGGCTTGTAAATATCACCAAGGGATGTTATTGTTCCAAAACTGGCTAAGTTTAATCTGAGTGTCATTTACCCTTAAATATATTATAAGGGTGTTTTTTGAACTTTAACTTATAAGCTATTGTCATTTTTAATCTTTAGATCTTGACGATTATGTTTAGTTGAGATCGTAATTTGATGGCGATTTGAATAGTTTGATGACAGTAGGTGATTAAATACACATTTATTTATTTTTCAATAAAGATTGAACACTATTTGTTACTATGTAAAAAATTATATATATATATATAGATGTAGATACATATTTGTATATATTTATTGCAAATTTTAAAGGGTTTTTTATTTTTTATTTTTTATTTTTTTTTATAGTTAAAAGTTTAAAGTTTTAAAAAATTAAATGTATATTTGTTTTTGTATATAATGAAATACATATCTTTAGTTAAATTTTTTAATTATATATTATATGAAAAATTATAACTATATTAAAATTTAATTGAATATAATTTTTTCTTTTTTATAACTATCATATGATATGTATATTAATCTAATAAGAACAAATATTTTTTTTGAAATGTATATATTTTTAATCTCCATTTAACCAGTAAATATATATATATATATATATATATATATATATATGTATAAACTTTTTAACTGAAACTTAAAATTCTAAACTCAAACAAATAATACATTGTTAGAAAATATGTAAAAATTATTTTTTTAAAAAAGTGAGAAAATTTTTAATAATGAATTAAAAATAATTAAGATTAATTTTACTCACACCCCTTCAAGTTTGAACCAATATCACCTTCAAATATCTTTCGAAAATAACTATCACTTAGACCCAATTTTATTTTTCCCATTAAAATCTCTATTAAACACATGAAAAGAGACAACTTTCCTCTAATTTTTTAATCTCATTTATTTCAAACAATTAAGTTACTTAAATGACCATTGTATCCTTACACCTACCTATCACCACCACCCCCATTTGAAGCACCAACGACAAAACAACAATCTAACGAAGAAAAGATAAAGAGAAAGAGAGCTAATGAAGAAAAGAGAAAGTGTGAATGATATGGTGTTTAATACATTCAATGGAGGTCAATGTGCCACCTAATTCAGAACGGTATCAAGTCTGCTAACAACTTTTATTACGGGTCCGATGACTTTGTATACAGCATCCATATCAACTTCAAATAGGGGGCGCTTCAGTACATATTTCTTGAAAGACTAAAACGTTCCGAGAACAGGATGAAATTTGGAGGCACCATCAATTATCTTCATTAAAACTACTGAAACATAATAAGTAAAACCTCGTCATTCATTATGACAATCATTTTATCTTTTTCATGAATGGGGTCTTGACAAGCATCCACATCAACTTCAAATGGGGGCGCTTCAGTACATATTTCTTGAAAGACTAAAACGTTCCGAGAACAAGATGAAATTTGGAGGCACCGTCAATTATCTTCATTAAAACTACTGAAACATAATAAGTAAAACTTCGTCATTCATTATGACAATCATTTTATCCTTTTTCATGAATGGGGTCTTAACAAGCTGCAGGTCCTCTGGAATAAATTTCAAACGTCTCAAAAAATCAATGCAAGCTCCGGCAACGGCACCTCTGGTCGTCATCATCTGTATTAGCAACATTGAAGATAAACAAACACAATAATGTAAATAAAAAACAATCAAAACAAAATGAACATATAAAAGAAAATTTTGATTATTGAAAGCAAGCTAATGAAGAAAAGAGAAAAGAGAGAGCTGATGATGAAGAAGAAGAAAAGCAATCAAAACAAAATAAGCATATAATGAAAAATGTTATAATTATAATTTCAAATTGCCTATGTTACACTTGCAAGTGGAGTGAGTGACGGTGGTGCTACGATGGATTCAAGCTGGAGAATTTGGTTGAGAAAAGAAAAAGCTTTGGTTAGTCTATTAAGGACATTTTGAACTCATTAGTGACATCAAAGCTCAAAGAATCAATTTTTCTCCACTGTAAATGTGATTATTTTGGGGCTGGAGGTACTTCGTTAGAAAAGCAACCAAAGCTCTATTTTAAAGCTCGTCGATCATTTAGTTAGATGGAGCATTGGACACTCAATTCCCTTATTTTTCCCTCTGCCGAATCAGTCTCGCACCATTGCCCGAACAATGCACGCACCTTCGTCGACGATCTATATAATCAATCAAATTCTACATCTCCAAATTTGTCATCATAATTTTTGATTGCTGGAACAGTTCTTGCTAAACTATAAGTTCAATCTCCCCGATTCAATCCGTGCTCACCCGCTCAGTTCGCGTCTCGCCGGGCACGATAGTTCTTGCTTCTTGCTATTCCGTGCTCACTGTTCACATCCTTGTCATAACAACTCTCTACTATTAATCGTCATGCAGCTCCGCTCATATATATATATTAGTCTTTCAATATAATTTGTAGGTTAAAGAACTATTTTGACAAAATCAAAGAATATTTAAGTCATTTTACATCAGCTCATAACGGTTCAAGTAACGATTAAAGTGTGAGTAAAAAATAAAACAAAGGTTTATAATGTGAGTGATAATTATTTTCAAAAGATGCTTGAAAGTGATTTTTGACCAAACCTGAAAAGGTGTGAGTAAAATTAACCTAAATAATTAATGTACACATAACACACATATACTATAAAATTATTAACATACACATCCCATGAACATTTTTGGAAGAACAAAAAAGAAAAACAAAAATTACAACATTTTACTTTATGTCAAAATTCTAATTAAAGAGTGTTTCCACACAATGCTTAAAGAATAACGGAGTTTTTAGTACACTTTTTAAAATAGGGGATAAAAGTGTGTAAAATAGGAAGTGACAAAGTATAACAATACGAGTAACCCCATTTTCCATTAATGTAGTAATACCTTCGTGGATCACATACGCCTGATCAGGTGACACTATGTTTGAGTAAGCTCTCTTTTGCTCGGAATCAACACCTTCTTGCCTCTGTACTCCTTTGATCATATAAAAATTATTTTGTGATGACACTTAGACCATTTTCACCAACTTACACAATCCATTAAATTTTAGTAGTATTAATAATGTGATAGTCGAGCTACTACACCATGTTCGATTAACCGTTTCTTCCTCGGGATAGCTAGGCGAAGCCCAGATGTGTATTGCACGAGCGACCAAGGATCCGGCGGCAGCAAACGGAGAGACCACCGATGAGAGGAGGTTGGTGAGGAAAAGGGTTGAAGTGGTGGCTCAGTTTGCGAAGCCACGCCTAGAGATGGCCATGGAGGGAGGAAAGGTGGGGATGGATGGAGTAACCACTCAATTAGACGTTTGATACGAAGGGGGTTGATGGAAGGGAGGTTCAAGGAACATGGAGGGAGGAAAAGTGGCGATGGATGGAGTAACCACTCAATCAAACGTTTGATATAAAGGGGGTTGATGGAAGGGAGGTTCGAGGAACGGGTTTTTTTTACAATGAAATGAGAGAGAGCCATTTTTGGAGTTTTTGTGTTCTCAGAAACAGATTAGAGAGAGAGACGGGTTTGAGAGAAAAACAGAGAGAAGGTGGTCTGTGTGCAGTCTGCAGGAGAATTAGGGGTTCAAGAGGAAGAGACAGAGGGTGGTCTACGTGCGGTGTGCAAGAGTATTATTGGTTAACGTGTATCTGAGCTATCCACCGTCGGATACTCACTCTTGATTTTGTGTACATGAAGAAGAAAAAATAAATCAAAAATGAATTTTTTTTTTTCAAAAAGAGAGTTTTTATTATAGTAATGTGCTAATAAAGTACATTTGATAAGATAAGTACTATATATAAATATTACTACTAGAAAAATAAAAAGGAAACATTACCTATTTGCATTAAATTGTTAATAATAAATTCGTACCCATTAACAAATAGATTTTAATCCAAAAAATTCTAATATATGCCGCCACTGCACAATTAGAAAAAATGAATGAGAATATGGTATTATATTAATATTAGTATTTAAAAGAATTTAATTATTATTTACCTAATAAGTTAAGGGTTCATAAAGAGGAAACGCAGGCCGTTCTTGCTGAGTTACAAAAAAGGAAATCTTTGGTTAGTCAAATCTGGAAATTTTCCATTGGTGGGGTAATGAAACTTGTATTTTCCACTAATAATCAACAGCAAAAACAAAAATAATTTACAAAAAAATCTTAAAAATAGATCCACCAGATAAAAAAATTGGAACTGCACACTTTTACTCACATTGAGCCTCATGGGGGATTAGACATGTTTAATAAAATGTAAAAGTCAAAATATTATGAAATATATGAAAGAGTCTTTCAATCATCCCATATTTGATTTATATATATATATATATACACACACACACATATATTTGAAAGGTTTTATTATAATATTTTGTCGTACAAAATCAACTCAACACACTAACAATTCTATTAATATAAATTCAACAAGATATTTTATGAGCAATAAATTCTAATAAAACAAATAAATTATTATATACCTTTACCGATACAGCTCAATCCAATTATTTTCCTCTCACAAGAAACAAACCTAATCTGCATTCAAAAGAAACTTTGTCACATAAAAATTTCAGAGCTTACGAGTAAATAATCATAAATAACATAGGACACACTTCAAATACAAAACTTATCAAGGAATACAAATAAGAGATCAACCAACAAATAATGTTTAAGAACCCACAAATGACTATAAAGAGAGCAAATGCTTATAATATGGAGTTGTAATCATGTAATACAATCATCCCAAATAAAAATAAGGAAAAATTACTATAAATAGAATGAGAGAAAAGATAATTACCGGCTCTACTAGATGAAAAGCAGAGAGAGCAAATGAATGCTTGAACAAGTGAACCATGAGGGTAGAGAGAGAGATCGAGAATTTTAGAGAGAGAAAATGTGGTAGTGGTCCGAATTTTAGAGAGAAAGTTAATGCAAGAGAGGAGTATCGATATTGAAAGGAGGGTGTTGCGTCTTCACTCTTCATAAAGGTTGGGGGTTATACCCATATTTATAAGTGGCATTGAGAGATTTTTTAGAAATAAAACTAAAAAAAAAAAAAAAAAGTTCTAAATTTAAAGATAGAGAACAGATTATGGACGTTAATGGTCTTTATTTACTTTTCTAGGATATAGATGGATACCTTGGTAAACTTCAGATCTGCTTTAACGGAGAGTAACACCGGCTTTCTCGTCGGACCACCTCCTTTCTTTGCCTTACCACGGATCTTCATTTCCTTGCACCCAAAAGACGAGAGAGAGGGAAAGGAAAAACAAAGGACCTTCTATGGAAACAAACATATCAATCCATCAGAAATGGGGTGTGCTTTCTTATTCATCGTTGGATTAGGGACTAATCGACGGCTGTGGATGGGTAGATTGGTGATTCGTGTGCTCCGAAATGAACCAATCAGATGCAAGGATGTGAATAATAAATTACAATGGCGATAATAACCCTCCAAAAATGCATTATATGAAATGTAGGGGACTACCTGCATTTATTTATTTTCCCAATATTAAAAAAATAGTGAATAAAGATTGTGATTAGAAATACATCATTAAAGTAAGGCTTACTATGTTCCGACATTCCTTCAAATTTGTCTTTATTATTCACGGATTAAATTAGTGAAAAAATAAGCTCAACCCTCCCCTTATGTTTGATTAATTTTGTTCTGACACTCCTTTCATTAATTATTAAAAAAATCAAAAGTCAATTAATTAAAAAAATATAATCTACAAAATAATAAATGATAAGATGCAAGTTTGGATATTTATTTTGAAACTTCAATAAAAATTTATTTATGACACGTATAGTTAAACGGGTTGAACTAATCAATCCAAACACAACACAATTAATTAAACGGGTTAATCGTGTTGACTCGTTACAACCCAAATATGTTTAAGGTCAATCCAAACTCGTTTAACTCGTGTTGTGTTGGCGGGTCGTGTCAAACTTTACCGCCCTAGGTGTGGCCACCCTCCTAGTTTTAGTGAGAGAAAGATAGTGGTGTGAGAGTGTCTCCAATGCTCTCTCAAATGTCCTCTCAAACTCAAAAATAAGAGATTTTGTTTTCTGAGACACTCCAATGGTATGTTATACAGCCTCTTAAAATTTGAGATTCTCAATAAAAAATCTCATATATACCAGGTTGGTATAAGTTGAGAACTTGAGATGCGAAACTTGTTTTTTTTTAATTTTTGTGTAGATATGGGCTGAAAAGTCACATACAAAAGCAAGAATAATGTATTAATTTAAATAAGGAAAGTAGTGGTTAAAATGTCTAACACAATTAGAACAGAATTACTAAATTATAACATTTTAGATGAAATACATTACTAATTATTAAAATATAACATTTTGACACTGTAACTATAAAATATAACTTTATCACAAAGAAATAGCATTTTGTATTAAAAATTGTCCGAAAGAAGTATCTATAGACTATAGTGAAAGTGAAAGGTATGGTGATGTCTTCACTCTTCATGTTGGGGGTGGTGAAAGGGTTTTTGTGTGTAATAAAAGAGCTCTCTCAATTTGAATTTCGTTACAGGAATGAATTACGGTTCTTCCATTAACGACTAATCATGCCGTTAATGGTGATTATCATCTTAACGTTTAATCATGCCGTTAATTGTAGTTACCATCGTGCTTTAGTTTGGGCTTGTCTCTGGGTTGGGCCTTCATGTCCTTGTTTGCCTAAGGGCTTGTACTCCTTTTTGTGGCCTAAGGTCAATCCACTATGTATATTATATCACTTATCTATGAAAGTTGCTTAAATTTAAAAATAAAAAAATAAAAAAATAAAAAATTTGCAACTAAAGTGTCAGACTATACAGCTTTTATTGAATACTCAACTTTGCATGCGTTTTCAACTTTTATTGAACTACACTGCAGGGTGTCTGTCACTTTGCCAAAAAAATAGAGTATTACACGTAAAAATGAGAGATTTGGCTTTGCAGATGAGCAGAGAAGAGAAAGACAAAAGTGGAGTGATGGTTAACATGTAACTCCATGGTGGCTCACAGTAGCAGGAATTGGTTAAAGTGAGCTGTTGTGGTTAGATTACAACTGGAGATGGGACATTTACAGTACTTCTAGCGTAAAAAGTACTCGGTGCAAAATAGAGGTTACAGATATATAATTATTACTAGAATCAACAATGAAGACAACAATCTTTTATCAGAAAAATTTTAAAAATATAAGAAAAAAATACGTATACAGCACACAAATAAACAAAGAGAAACAAGGTCAAATTGGAGTAGGTGTAAATAATTTTAACAAAAGTTGATCGATTTCAAATGGAACAGGTTAACGTGATTTATTATTTAGGCTTCGCTTGTTTAAATGTAAAAAAATATTTTTTAGTATTTGATTGTTGTAAAATATTTACGAAGAAAAAATAAAATAAAATATAATAAATATAACTTATCTATTAATTTTTAGCAAATTATTTGACTTGACCTCATCTTCGACCTAGAACCTCTGCCGAACATTGAATAAGCAAAAATAAAAAATATATATATTTTATCTGAAAAGAAAAAAAAAAAATTCCGAAATTATTTTTTTTTTGCGTTAAAGCCATAATGTCAATTTTTTTTTATCCAAATCAAGTTCTCTAAACATGATCCATATAAATAAATAAAAAAGATTAGTACAAATTGCATAAAACCCTCTCTCCTTTCATTTTTTGCAGGAAATCCCTTCCAATTTATTTATTTATTTTTTACATAAAACCAACCCGAACTTCTTTGTTTGTTGCAACACTACCACCTAATGACCAAAATGTCCCTTAATATATATATATATATATAGCCCCCTAATCTAATATTAAAATTAATATAAATAACTCATCCAACATAGTTTTGTTAAAAATTACTTTCAAAAAATAAAAATTAATGGTGCTTCTATAAAAAATTTAAAAATACCTTGGATTTTAAAAAAATTCTTTTTTTTTTTTTTTCTTTTCAAAATAAAAAAGGAAAAGCAAAACCTAAAACAAAAAATTATTTTAAAGAAAACATAAATTTTCTTAAATTTGCATTAAGAAGCATTTTTGCAAATATTACATCACTTTTATGGTGTGTAATTTTTAAAATTTTCTTAAAGTTCTATTTTTAAAAATTAAAAAGGAAAAGAAAATCTAAAATAAAAATCATTTAAGAAAAACTCTAAGGGGCAATTTCATTATTAGGGTGCAGTGTTGCAACAAAAAAAAATGTTAGGAGGGTTTAATGTTAATATTTTTAAGGAGTTTCATGCCAAAAATGGAAAATATAAGGGGTTTTATGCAATTTGTCCAATAGATATGACAGAAAATTGGGCCTTACAGTATTTTTTTGATTTTAGGCCCTCTTTTTGTGCTTGTCCTGTACATCCTTAATTCAATTAGAACAAATAAAATGAGAGACTAAAAATGTCTAAAAGCTCTTCAATATTAATCTGAACTTTCTATCCTATAAAATATATATATATATATATATATCTCTTTAAACACATATGCATGCTGATATTTCCACAAACTACCATCCAACAAGTCATAATATAATATTTAGAAGTCAGAATATAATATTTTCTAAATAGAAGGAATCACATTTAGTGACAACTAATCTAGCAAATAAGCAATAAGCATGTTATATTTTTCTATTGACCTGACATTTTAATTTTTCTCCATATTAACTTGCCCTTCCTATTGTAAACAACTTGGCATGTTAGTAAGGGTAGGTTTCGCTAATGTTTTTATTTCATATTTTTTTATTTTGTATATTATAACAAAGTAAAAACATAAAACATATTTGATAATATTTGTTGTAATTTTAATAATACCTAAGCAATTTCGAAATTAAAGTCAAAATTAAAAGCATGATGCTTCTATTTGTTTGCTTCGCTGCTTCTATAATGTAGCAAAACATTATTCATTAATTTTATTTTTATTTATTATTTTTTTTGTCAAAAATAACATTTTGAACTACCCATTCAATATTTTAAACTTACAACACTTTTCACCAAACACACTTTAATGTTTTTGCTTCTAAAAATTTTACAACAAATTTACTTTATCAAACAAATTTCAAATTAATATTTAATACACCCTAAATCAAACAAACAAATTTCAAAATAGTATTTAACACACCCTAAATCAAAAACATTACTTCTGCTTCAAATTAAAGCATAAACAATAATAAAGGATTAACTACTAATATATAATACTGATACAAAATAATTAACCACTACTATATAACACTGATACAAAATAATTAAAGGGCTAAAATCCACTGTATATGTAATTTCATGTTGCATAGTGTGGTGAACTTAATCTAAAACATAATCTACGTCAACTCATATTCTGAGTCTAAACATCATCTTCTTAAAGCAATAATTAATCTATCTCCTTCTAGAACCCAGTCCTAACTCTCTAAATTCTAATAAACAATGAACACTACCTAACATTAGCCTACCCCTGCATATGTACTAGTCCAGAAGTCCAGCAAAAACCCACACAAACGCAGGACATCATAAGTTTTTCTAACTTTGATGTACTGAAGAGTCCAAATGATAAAGTACGACGATTCCTTGGTTTCGTCACCGGGCATGCAAGATAATTTCGGATCTATGAACTCAGTCCACACGGTACTGCCAGCTATCAATCCATCAATGGACAAAAGGGATGGAGGAGGTAGATCATTCATGTTCCACTGTATGTGCTGGCTGCTTACAAATCGCCGCCTTAACCTTCATAGCATCTCTTAAGTCGTAGAATTGGACCATCACCAGCCCTTCATACGCTCTCTCCATGTCGAGAGCTCACTTCTCCGAACACCTTCAAATATGTCCCCACCGTCCATTCGTTACCTTCAAATATGGTACATGGCTATCTGAGTGAGATGATGAGGCCAGATTTTCGGACAGCCCTTTTTCATAAAGCTGTGTTTGATTTGAAACTTCAACTTTTTCTTTCGATCCCATTCTCCAAGAAAGATGCTTGGCATAGCCTATCGGCATTAATATACATTGAGC